CCCCAAAACCCCAAAACCCCAAAACCCCTCAAAAATTATAAGAATTGAAAATATTTCATGGAAGTCGATTCCTCTGTACCAAGGAAACATAGATTAGTCCTGAAGAGGTCAAGGCTACTTTCTTGTAGGAATTCCATGCATGGAGGCCGAGGCAAGGCCTCCAGAGCTAGGAACCATAAGAGAATCAGTTCACTGCTTAATAAAAGAATCTCAATGAATACTATTAGTCATTCAAAGAATATCAGCCCAAAGAAAAGCACAGGTAATACTGAATGAAAGTTAGCTTTATAGTCTTTGGAAGAGGTCCATCTGAAGCGGAGTTCCACGCTAAAGTCAAGAAGCGTTTCTTCTCTCATGGTTTGAAGTACTTGATAATCTTTATAGACCAGAAAAGACTCTTTTCATACCATGAGGAAACATACACTCATGGATGTGATCAATCGGACTCTGAGTTACTCCAAGAGCTGCTTATCCTTCTAAACTGAAATCAAATAATTGATTTCATAAAGTATTTTCAAAGTAAGCAAACTTGAATTTAAAAATTTCCATTTGTCATTGTCTGGACCAAACTTAGCTAGGATTGGCTAAATCTGGTGATTATATTACAAAAGGTTACCTGCTAATCCACTTAACTTCATAATTATGTCAAATTTTTAATATAAAAATTTGGTACAGGAAGTAAGGAGCAAAGCATTCTAAGTCCTTCAAATTCCGACACAAAAGCTGAAGAATTCTACAAATAAAATCTTAAAATCCTCAATGAAGAAGTTTAAATTTGAAAAACAGAACACTTCTCAGCGAATTACCAAAACAGGAAGTGTAAAGAAGAGGCCTGAAAGTAAGGTTTCCTAACCCCTTAGAAGTTAAAGAGCCACCTGTTGTGACTACCTACACCGAGAGGAAGAAGCGGGAGGAAGAGCAAGAGATTGCCAATCGGCTCAAAGAAGTCAGCATTTAGGTAATTCTCCATAGATCCAGAAGGAACACCAACTGAATTTTAAAAGGAAATTGGACCTGATGAACACTAAAATTGATAATATTGAGATGAACTATGACTCTTTGAAAGCTAATAGAGACGAACTTGCCCTTACAGCTGTCAGTAAGCAATCTTAAATAATTGTAAAGATAAGCAAGAGGTCGATCTCGTCCAATCCAACAGGGCAAGCATTGAAGGCATCTTAACTTCTATCGATAGCCATGATGAAATATTTAGGGATTTAGACAACTACGCACTTGGGCCATGGAAGACACTCAGAGAGTTTGAGAAATCCCTTAGGCAATCCACCCAGTTCTATATTCTCCAGTATAGCAAGATGGATAGCTTCTATAGACGACAAATAGAAACTATTAGATCTAAATGCAGTTTTAGGGAGGAAGCCTTTGAACAGGCTCTCTTGCAGCTCAAACTTAAGCACAGACTTGAAATTGAGCAATATCAAATGGAAAGAGAAAATGTAGAATCACAATTCACTGCATTTATACAGAACGGAGGCGAAGATGACCTCAACCGTATTATGCTGAGAAATCGAAGAAATGAGCTTGATTCCCACTCAACAGCACTTGAAGTGATTGATGAGCTTGAAAAAGTTATCAGAAATTTACAAATTCGATTAAAAACAGCTCAAAATGAGCAAGTCAGGTTTGAAAGAGAAGCTACCAAGGCGATAAGAGAGAAGGATCTTGCTAATAACACTCTTGGCTCAATTAGAAGCTTCAAGTTGATGTATCTGGAGCATCTCCTGACAATAGGTAAGCTTGTACAAACACTTTAGCATCAAAGGTGACTAAATCAGATAATAACTATACACAAATTTTTAAGGTAAGAAACCTAGCTAATTTCATAGAAAAGTAAACTCGACCAGGATACTAAAGTTGTGAAATATTTCGAAGAGAGTAACATCATCGATGATTGTGTTGGAATTGCAAAGGGATATGAAATAATGAAGGACTTCATCAACAACATGAAATCAGAACTCGCTAATCTAGGGATCCTCCCTCCACTTTCTATTCCCAACCCGAATAAATTTGTCTCTCAGAAGATAATAATTACAGGAAAGGTCTGTAGAGGTCTTTATGAAAAATGGAGTGATCCAAAAATAACAGAGATAGTCTATAAATCTGCTAAAGAATACTGTAAAACTTTTTAAAATAACTGTCTAGTCCAGAAAATGAGAGGTATTTCTAAATAGGACTACAATGAAATATGGGGCTTCAATGGCTTCCTCTCCTGACTCAATCTCGCAAGCTTCCACGTTCATGTTAAAAAGCAGTACTTTCAAGGCGAAAATGTCAAAGTCTAAATAACCACAAAAAGAGTGCAAATAAGTAAGCTCTTTAATTTATATCCTAATATGTTGATCTACCAGTAGGTCTAATATTAAAAAGTCCTTGGCAAAACTCTCTGAAAATGTAATCCCTAATGCCTCAAAACTGAGTGCAAAATACGCCTCTGAAATATCAGCTAGCAAGGAATTCAAAGACCTCAAATTTGATGTGTACGATACAGACTCTTTGTCTAAATTTTGAAGGTAATTTCCCATAGTTTTTGCGTAATTTGATTAGGAAGCATGCCAATATTAAACAGTTTGAGATATCCACCTCGAATATTATCGAAGCCTTCAACTTTATTAACACAACTATTTTGCAAGAAGTCCATACCAACAAAGACAGAAATTTTGAGAAGTTGTCAATACCTGTGAATGAATTAGTCATACCAGTTTATGATGAACGACAGATTTTGACTCATTTTGAGTTGAATCCTACCCTGATGAAGCTTGCTTACATGCGGGATTACCGTAACACAGACACAATTAGAGAAGGAATCCGTTTGATGATCCTCCTAAACAGGGTTTACCTCCATGACAAAACTCTAGCAACACAAAACTCAGATAGCACTGGAGGAGTTGATATAGCATACAGGATGAAGACCAACAAAGAGTGCCAGACAGAATATAATGATTTAATCAGAAATTTCATGAGGCGGAATTTACTCTTCTTAAAATCTCATATTGATTCTATTCCTTTAGAGTCTATTACTGAACAATACAAGGACTCTAACGATGAAGATTTAATCTTCATGGAATTCAGGAATATCCAAAGTAAGTCTAGACTCCAATAAAAAGAAATATATGACCATATAGGCCGTGTGAAGCCAGATATCAAGTCTGAACAAACTCTGAATGAGGAAGTCAACACATTCAGTCTTCTTACGAAGCTGTTTGATAGCCTCAAAAATCGGATAAATGAAATTATGGAGAATGAGGGAGAGATCTCTCTTGATTCCCTCTTTGATTACAACAAAATTTACAAGGAAGAGAAGGATAATGTCAGCATCTTCACAGATGAAGGCAATGATAACTGCTTTGACACTGAGCGGAAGAAGATTAAGGCTAAATAAGCTGAAACCCGTCCTTAAAAGAGCCCTCTTAGATCTTAAGATTAAGGGCAGAATCGACACTGGGGACTCCATCTTGAATACTTTCCTAGGTTTCTTCCTCAATGAGGATCCAAAGAAGATAATTCTGTTGGTTGATAGCTTCTGCTCACTTGCCAAAAATCTACCGAAAAAGGAAATGATCAACCTTCATTTTGGCAGTGATGAGATTAGTGAAGTATCTTTATCCAGTGGAAAATCTTTAAAAGAGGAAGATCGAGAAAAACTGATCTCACTTAAGTTGCAATCAATCGACGAGGTTATCAAAAGGTCTGAGCGAATGAAAGGCAGGAAGAACTTAAATCGCAAAAAGCGTCAATCCTCAAAGCCTAACTCTAAGCCACGCCTTTTTAATAACTCTGTTCTTCAGAAGAAACTTGCTAATGAGACGATGTCAAATAGACTGAAGATTAATAAGTTCATTAACAAAGAAACTCCACGTAGGAAAGTTTCCCGGAAAAATTCAGTGCTATCTGTCGAAACCGATGACGATGTGAACCTGCACAAATATTTGTTCACCAGGAAGAAGACTTTAATATCATCTCCAATGGCGAAAGTAAATCTGAATAAGACTCAAAATTTTTCACAAAGAATACAGAAAAGGAGAAGTTCTATAAACACACAAAGAAGTACCAAGTTGTAAGGAATTTACTCATATCTTGCCTTCTTAGTGAGCTTTGAAATTGAGAGCAAGAGGGAGATGGGATCAAGATCTGTCTGAGTTAAAAGGCTTAGGTGGTCTTATTTATAAAATCAAGATAGAGATTTGCTTCATTATTTCAAATTTCAACTCATTTAATCCTCATTGGGGTTTTGGGGTTTTGGGGTTTTGGGG